ATTTATTTATTTATTTATTTATTTATTTGGTACAGGGTCTCTGCTACACAGCTCGGATTCATAGTGATCCTCCTGTTTCAGCCTCCCCAGCACTGGGATTACAGGCATGCACCACCACATCTGGTCTCAGTGGCCAGCACAGCATATGGCACTGGGGATCAAACCCAGGGCCTTGCACTTGCCAGGCAGGCACTTAGATTGCTGAGCTGTCTTGCCAGCCCATGCTATTAGCCTTATTCAGGAAATCTTTGCCTATGTCTGTGGCTTCAAGTATTTTCCTCTATGTTTTTTTTTTTCTAGCAGTTGCAAAGTTTCAGACCTCATACTTAGTTCTTTGACCCATTTTCAATTGATTTTATTTTACACAGTGAGAGGGATCCAGTTTCAGTCTTAGATATTCACATAGTCTTTCCAGCACCACTTGTTAAAGAGGCTATTTTTTTTCAAACATTATCTTCCAAGATCCTTTGGCAAGAATCAGATGGTTGTAATTGTGTAGGTCTGTTTGTATCCTCTATTCTATTCCACTGGCCTATGTGTCTATTTTTGTGCCAGCTTTTACTATGACTTCGCTGTATAATTTGAAATCGGGTATTGTGATACTTCCAACATTGCTAGTTTTGCTTTGAATTGCTTTGTCTATCCTGGGCTTTTTGTGTTTCTATATGAATTTTAACATTGTTTTTTGTAGCTCTGTGAAGAATGTCATTGGAATTTTTACAAAGGCTTTAGTAAATCCATAGATCACTTTTGGTAATATGGCCATTTAAACAATATTAATTTTGTTGATCCAGGAACATGGGAGGTCTTTTCATCTTCTAGTGCCTTCTTCAATTTCTTTCCTCAGCATTCTGTAATTTTCATTGCAGGGCTCTCTGTCACCTTCTGCATGGGAGAAATGAGATGCTGGTTAAAGGGTGTACTATGGTTTGTTCTTCAACGTTCACGTGATTCAGGTATAGTGACCAATGTAATGTACTAAGATGTGGAGCCAAGTGAAGGTAATTAAATCACTGGAGACATTGTCCTTGGAAAGGATTACTACTGGACAGGTGGAATGAGTTCTCACAAGAACAAGTTATTATAAAAAGTAAGTAAGATTGACCTCTACATATTCTCCAGCTTCCCATCTTTCTATGTGTCCTCCCTATAGTCAGTTCTGTTTCTCTGCCACAGTGTGACACAGCCAGGGAGCCAATGCCATGTTGCTGGAATCTCCAGCTACCAAAGTCGTGAGCCAAATAAACCCCTTTTTACATAAAGTACTCAGTGTTATGATTGAGAACTTAAAAATCCCTCTCAAAAATCTCATGCATTCAGAGATAGGGCTTTGACAATGGCCGTGACTCATCCACATGGCTGACACTGACAAAGGATCTACAAAGTGTGGTACAAGTGTTCAGGATAAATCCTGAGGGGAATTGACTGATCTTATCAGATACAAAAGTTACATTATTTGTTACATAGGTCTTGCTTTATCTTGGTCTTAACCATCCAGCAGAAAGCTATAAAAAAAGAGGCATAAGGGGTGAAGCCATGTTGGTATGCTGGCCTGTGAAGGGCTCGGGTCAACAACTTCTGACATTGCCAGTCCTGCGGATGATCCACTACTATTAAGGACTACTGGACTATATTGGAATATTTTGCTGAATTCACGCACCAACAATATTTAAATGACAATGGAATACCCATCTCTGACAAAACTAAACAAAGGGGATAAAAATGAATGATCATTTTGTATCTTTATATTCAAAATAGTTAGAATACATATATAGCTACATTCTCTTAATTCAATGAATAAGATTTGTTCTAACAGTGTTTGTGGATGGGCTGTCATGTCTGCATCTTGTACAATGAATAACCACTGACACAACAATGTGCAATGTATTAATTATTGAAGCTGTCCTACTGATCGGTTTTGAAACTGTCTCATTGATATGTGTTTCTCAATAAAATTATTTTTAAAAACAGAGATGGGGCTTTGAGAAGATGATTAGGTGATGCAAGCTCTTATTTCATCAGTGAATCAATCCACTGATGAGATCATAATTTGGTGGCTTTATTAGCGGTAATGGAAACTTAGAAGGTAGAACTTAGTAGAAAGGAGGGGGCCATAGGAGGCTGACCTTGAGGACTTGTCACCAGCCCTTCTCTCTGACTCTTTCCATTTCTCTCTGTAGCCTGGCTGCTATAAACTGAGCAGCTTTCCTCTGCCATGCCTTCCCACCATAATATGTCTTCCTCAACAAAGGCTTAAAAACAATGGAGTTAGCTAACCATGGATGGAAACCTCTGAAATTGTGAGCCAAAATAAACCCTTCTTTCTTTCAGTTGTGCATATGAGGTATTTTGTCCCAGTACCACACATCTGACTAACACACCCAGCCCTTGGTATTTAGTTATGAAAACATAAAACAGTCTAGCACAGGGCACAAGCTTTCAGTTATAAGATGCCTAAACTTTGGAGACTTAATGTGTAACACCATGATTACAGTTACTACTATTATACTGTTTACTTGAAGGTGAAATTTGGCAAGGGCAAGGGGTGAGGAGGAAGGCAAAAGAAAAAAAAAGAATAAAGAAATGCCACGTATAAGAACATAATAATCTAAATTAATATAAACACCACATGCCATAATATGAGCTAAGATTAATATTGTCAAATGAATAAAAAGTGGGATAGAGGAATTGGAGGTAGGAAAGAGGAGAGAAGGGAAAGGGGATTTTAAAAAGAAGAAACATGTACATGTAGTATGTACATGTAACCACACCCCAAGTGCACATACTGGGAAAATGTACTAATATTATTTTTTTAATCTGAAAAAAATGAATTAGAAATTTGCTGAGGCAAAAACACATCTTCAGTGCCCTCAACACATGCACACATGTACACACAATGTACGATGTGTAGTAATGGATGTGTTGATTAATTTGATTGTGGTAAACTTAAGCAATATATATGTACATCAAATCATCATATTGTACACCTAATAAATACAGTTATTATTTGTCAATTATACCTCACCTAACCTAGAAAACTAAAAACCAAAAGATTTGCAAAATATATGGTGAAAGGTCCGGCCAGATAGCTCAGCAGATTAAAGCACCTGCTTAGGCAGAGCTCAGGGATCAGGGATCAATCCCCGGACCTGCTGTGCCAGCCCTGTCCTTGGGGTGCACTGAGATAGCAATTGAGACTGGGTGTGGTGGCGCACACCTGTAATCCCAGCACTTGGGAAGTGAAAACAGGAGGATCACTATGACTCCTATCTGTTTAGTGAGACGCTGTAGACCCTGTACTAAATACAAAAAAAAAAAGTGAAAACAGCTATATCCAGGCCAGGAGTGGTGGGCCATGCCTGTAATTCCAGCACCTGGGAGGCAAAGGCAGGAGGACTGCCATGAGTTCAAGGCCCACCCAGGATACATAGTGAATTCAAGGCCAGCTCGAAGTACACAGCAAAAATATAAAATCAGCAAACAGCCACAGTCAATAGGCATCTAAGGAAATAAGATGACTAAACCTAACATGATATTGTGAGTGGGATCCTGGGACAGAAAAAAAAGTTATATAAAAATATTACTATAGATTTGATAAAGTTTGAACTTTAGGTAACAGTAATATAGTATTACTGGTTTAACAATTGTCAGAAATGTACCATACTGATGTAAGACATTAATAGGGAAAGTAGGTATAGAATATATGACAACTATCTGTACTATCTTCACAACTTTTCTGTAACTCCAAAGCTATACTAAAATGAAGTGAATTTAAAACATATATGCAAAATTGGTTAGTATCCAAGACATATACACAAAAACAGCATTAACAATATGGGGGAGGGGAAGATAGCTCAGAGGCATAAGCACCTACCTGGCAAGCACATGGACCTGAGTTTGATCCCCAGCCCCACGTGCCATGCTGGCCCTGGAACCCTGGGCGTGCCATGCCAGCCCCAGAACTGGGCATGGTGGCAGACATCTGTAATCCCAGCACTCAGGAGATTGAGATGGGAGGAATGCTGTGAGCTGAAGAGCAGCCTGGGAGCTATAAAAGTGAGCACAGGGCCAGCCCGAACTGCATAGTGAGACCCTGTCTCAAAACAAACAAAAAACCCCAATACATATTATACTATATGTAATACATATGAATATATAGCATGTGTATTATTTTATGTATAATGCACCATATCCTATAATATACAGCATAACTGTATAACATACAAATTAGAATGTCAGCCCTACTCTTACACTGCCAGTGGATATTATGCAAGTGATTTCAACCTTTGTGGAGAGTTGCTTGTCAATATATATTAAGAACCTTAAAATGTCATACTTACTAACTTACTAAACCCAATTCAGAGTAATTACTGAAAAATACTTTATCTGAAGCACACACAATGTTTTATGGGCAAAGATGTGCTCCACTGTCATTTGTCATAGGAAATAAATGGAAAAATCAGAAAGTGCAAAATTCGAGGAATATTATAACGAGCTTTATGGTGTACACATACTATAAAACCATTAATGTGAAACAGAAGAATAGTACAGAATAATACTCAAGAGCAAAGGTTTTGGAGACAAATCTGAATTCAAGTCAAAGGAACATCATTGATTATGAGATTTTGGGCACGTCATCTAGTTGTCTTTCTAAGCTCCACTTTTCTTACCTGCAAAATAAGGACAAGAACATAGTCTAGCCCCCTGAGGTTTTATGATAATTAAATGAGAGTTGTGTGTTTAGAACATGGCCTGGGAGATAGCTTAGTAAAAAGTACCATAAAACAACTCTAAATATAGATTCTTACTACTGACGCAATGGAATCAAGAGTATGAGTCACTCAATGCCATATAGCTATTAAGAACACAGGTAGGACTCAAACTCAGAAAGTTGAATTTTGTGATCCAGGCTCATAGCCACAGCATTAAAATGTTTGTTGTTATTTATGTTGCTGTTGCTGTTGTTTACTAACATGGGAAAATGATCACAGTAACATGTTGAGTAAAAAATACAGAACAGAAAATTGTATTTAGGGTGTTATTTTGAATTTGCTTTGAATTTTTTTGCACTGTACATGAATATGAATGGATAAGATTGAAGAGAAATGCCATTAAAATTATTAATTTTCAGTAATCTAGGTGGCAGAATCTTGGCATCAAAAAAACATTTAAGTATTATATCATAATAATTTGCTTTGGTGTTCTAAAGAGTCATCAAATTATCCAACTGAGAATTTAGTTGTATTGAGTGGTATTCATCCTGTTGATTTATACTTCTTGAATGACTACTTGCATTTTTATTTTTTAATTTTATGGAAGGGTCTACACTGTGTTCAGGGTCTCACTACTAGATCAGACTCATAGTGATCTGCCTGTTTACAACCTCCCAAGAGCTGGGATTACAGGTGCATACCACCACGCCCAGTCTCAATTGCCACCTCAGCATGCCTTGGGGGTGGGGCCGGCATGGCAGGCCCGGGGATCGCACCCTGGCCCCTGTGCCTGCTTGCAGGCACTTTAATCCACTGAGCTATATTGCCAGACCTCATTTGCATTTTTAAAGCACCATTACTCAGCCAATAATTTGCTTGAATACTACTTTTTTGTCTGCTATATCTCTACCCCTTTTTCATATTTTTTCTTTATTTTTTTGAGGAAGGTTCTTGTTATTTATTTCAGCTAGGTCTTGAATTCACTGTATAGCCTGGGCTGACTTCAAACTCACAGTAACCCTCCTGCCACTGCATATAAAGTGCTAAGATTACAGGACTATACCATTTTCAAAGATGTGAACATTTTGTCTCTGGACATTTAAGTCTCTGGAGCATATAATAATGCTACATCACTAAGCAAATATGAATCACCACTGTTTTATCTCTACCTTT